TTCTATGGTAGGTCTTAAAGGGTTAAATAAACAGTTCCTGTTCAAGGAGAGGGTTTAAGCAAAAAGCTGAGCAGCTGAAAAACTGCCACGCTGTTATATGAGGTGCCTGTCAATTTGTGTCTGTGTGGTAACTATGGTAATACTCCCTCTAAAGCCCTCCCAGAAGCTGTCTGCCCAGCAAGAGGCAGAGCGTCAAGCCATCCAGTCGCTGCGGGGGGGTGGAGCTCTAACAGGAAAGTTTCTCTCCACGTCCTCCCTTCCAGCAGGTGAGCTGGACCGCTGCTCATATCAGAGTTTAGTGAGTCATTGTGCACTAATCATAAAAGTGCATCATGACTGTAGCTGGTTTAAAATGAATTCTTTAGTTATGATTTAATATGTCTTTGCAGGTGTGGGACATGATGTGGAGACTCCGCCCCCCAGCTCTCATTCAGCCCATTCCTCGTTACTGCAACACGTACTACTGCTGGAGCAGGCTAGGCAACAGACTGCTATGCTAGGTGGCGCAAACACAATCGCGCACGCAGCACATACACAAAAGTTCACGACAGCGCCTAACTCATCACCTTTTTCTGTGACCCTTGACCTGTCCAGTGCCCATGTACAGCCAATCGCCGCTGGTTACAGCAGAGAGAGGTGTGTCGGGTGGCATGCGGGCCGTCAACAAGCTGCCTCGCCACCGGCCGCTGGCTCGTACGCAGAGCGCGCCTTTGCCCCAGTCCCCCCAGGCCCTGCAGCAACTGGTGGTTCAACAGCAGCACCATCACTTCCTGGAGAAGCATTACAAGGTAGACACAATTACACACACACACAGATGAGCACACGTGCAGATTCTCACATAATCTTTGTGTGTTTGTGTGTTTGTGTAGATGCTGTCAAAGGGGACAGATTTACCCAGGCCACCACCCACTCACCCAGAGGAAACAGAGGAGGAGCTTACAGAGACCAATGACATGCAGGAGGAGGATGAAGGGGTGGGCCTTCACAGGTGTGCCAGTATTTCTGTGTTTGTGTGTCTCTGTGTGACACACAGTGCTTAACACATTTATTAGCCCCAGCCTGATGTCGTTTGTGTTCAGTAATGGTTCCCCCAGCAGTGTGTGGAAGCTGTTTAATGCTAAATAGAAATATTGTTTTTATCTGTGAATTTTCAAATTTGTTGCTTCACAAAGAAGCTGAAAAGCTGTTATTTGTTTTAAATTCAGATTACAAACACAATTCCTGAATATAAAAAGTGAATGTTCTGTTCTCAGAGATGTCCACTCCGTCAGCTCAAATATGAGAATAAAAACATGAATTCAGTTTGTTATTATTTAGGCTTCGTTATTAGGCTGGTTAATAACAATATAAATATATATATATATATAT